GTGTGGGCGATGTGCAAACGCTCACACGTGTGGGCGTTAACATTTCCATTTAAAATAGACGGCCGGTCATATCACTTCGCACCCGGCAAGGGTGCAAAGGCAACAAAAAAAGATGTTGTATATTATAAATTATGAATAAATTATAAATTGTACATATGTACAAAAGAAAATGTTGTACACTATGTAGCATGTACAGATAGATGAGTGTGCTAGACATTAGCACATGGCATTTTTACTATTTTTTTGCAAGTTTGTCTCCATTTTCGATCACACGTCATTTTTTCTATTTCAAGTAAATACCAATATCTTCCGTCTTGTTGCATTTGTCGAGAAAAGAACATCTTATACACTTCTAGAGAGAAAGAGTGTTGCGTGGAAGTCTTAAGAAAGACCATGGCCAAAATTACAATGGTACGTCCCTAAACGCGGATTCGTTGGAAAAAGAGAGAATTGTGTACAAGTCTCAAGAAAGATCATACCCGAGATTCTCCAACGCCAATACCGGAGAATGAGGGGAATCGGATAAAAATTTGTTCTATACTGGACCCCTGCGACACCCTCCGAGGCGACTCAGGGGCGAAACCCTAGCGCCACCACAACCCTCCCTCTTCTCGCAGTCGTCGCCACTCAACTGGATTCGGGGATGACGGCGGCGAGGCGCTGCATCAGTAGTCACAAGGTGGAAGTGGACATCCCTCGGGTGTGTGGCTAGCGGCGCCTGCCGCAACAGGACTCGACGTGGTGGCCAGGTGACCGTTGAAGTGAGGCGGGAGCGGGCTGGTAGCTGGGCTCCGGCCTGGCGCGCAAGGTACGGGCGCCCACTCGTGGGGACCACACATCTGGCCGCCGGGGTGCATTTCTCACCGGCCTGGGCTCGGCTAAGTTGATGGTTGTCCGTGGCCACAATTAGACGGGTTGGCCACCGGGGGGCATTTCTCACCGAATATGGCCACCCCGTGCTCGGCTAAGCCGACGGCTGTCCATGGCCGCAACTGGACGGGCTGGCCGCGGATGGTGGTGGTGGTTATGGCCGGCGTGGTTGGGTTTGTGGCGGTGGATGGATTTTTGGCCGTTGGTGGGGAATTGGGTGTCCACCTCGACAACAACGGGGTGCTATCCACATATTTTGGCGGTGCGGGGGGCTTGCGCGGGCTGACGGTTGGCGGGTGATAGAGGTACCAGTGCAGCGGTCAGCACTGATCCTACCTTCCATTGACTCTTGTGCTCGAGGTGAGTGACTGCGTTTGTAGAGGGTCTCCTTTCGGACATGGCGAGGACGCTCGTCATGGTTTGGCAGGAAGGTGGTAATGTCTTGCGCTCATGTGCTTGCCAGACTCGAAGGACAGTGTGTCGGGGTGAGGCACAGTCGCAAAGCAAGCCTGATGCTGACTTAGTCGGCGGCGATGATGGTGATGCCATCAGGCATCGCTTACCTTCTTGAAGGCATCATTGTGAAGCTTTCTTTAACCACTCTTGGTGTGCTCTGGGCGAAAGCCTAAGATCTATCTCTGGATTGGATGACGACGGCATCTGTGATGTCGTTTTCCTCCTTGGGGTGTTGTCTTAGAGTCATTGGTCCGCTACTGGTCGTTTTGATTTCTCGGTTGGAGCATGGTGGGTGTTTTGGGGTGTTTGGTGGTGGCGGTGGATCTGATCTATGGCGGTGGTCTTTACCTTGGCCGTTCTGGTGCTATTGGTTGACCTCTCTCTTGGGGGCTCGTGGAGGTGGTGAGCTCTCGGAGTTTGGTGCCCTTCGATGAGGTTTGAGGTTTGGTTGCCTCAGTGTCCTGGTTATCTCTATTAGTGATGGTGGTCGTGGTATGGCCTAGAGGATATGCAGAGCCGTTTCGGCGAAACATTGCCCTTCGGCACGGCCTGTGGCTCGCCGTGGATGCTGGTCCTTGCCAGTGGAAGGGCTTCGTTTTTAGATGTTTTATTTTTATTTTTGTAGAGTTTGTGTCCTGCTTAGAAGACGAGATGGTGGCGGCTCCCTAAAGATGAAATAAAGTTCTCCCTGCCTAGCCCCATTCTGGTGGTGCGTCTAGCATCGTCAAAGGGCGTGTGGAGGTGTGTTTCTGGTGAATCTCGCAGGATTAGATTGGTGATTGTCTTTGGTGGAACTACTCGGATCCAATCTTCGTCTGTCAATGTTTGTGTGTGTTGAGTTTGTATTGTTTCGATCTATGCGTCTCTTCGTCGGTGGCGGCTGTTGTTCTGGTGCGTCGATTCTATTGGATCTTTAGCACGACGACTTCCTGATTGTGTACTGCAACAAGAAGTTTTGCTCGGCTGCAGCGAGGAAGGGGTTACGGCGGCGGCACGCCATCGGCTTGCTTGAGTGCTAGTCGTTGCTAGGTGGTCCACGGATGTAGAGTGATTTTTATTACTTCATATTTCTGATGTTTGTTATACTATCATGATTGAAGACGAATAGATGGAAAGTTTTGAAAAGAAACTTTTTAGGGGTAGTTTTAAAAAGAAACGAATGCGAGTAGCCTAGACTTCGGTTTCCATGGATGTGCGTTACCAAGTACTAGTAGTGTCATGAAAGGATTTTTGCCGGCCAATGCTGAACTTCAGCGTCGGCACGTGAGTGATGATTCTATATGTCAGATGTGTGGGTATGGGGATGAGTCGTTGTTCCATGCATTGGTTGCCTGTAACCATGCAGCCTTATTTTGGGAGGAGGCCCGCCGATTCTTTGGTGTAAAAATACCGAGGATGAATCCGATGACATGGACAAGAGACATGCTGGATCCTCAGTTTATTAGCAAAGATGATGTTGCAGTAATAATCTCAGTAATGTGGACTGTCTGGAGTAGCCGGAACAAGTATACACACGGTGAGCTGCAGTTCCAACCGGCGAAGTCAATGGAAATTATAAGAGAACATATTAGGGCTCTAGATTTTCCTGCAAAAACCTCTGCGACACAACAACAACAGGTGTTACGGAAGCCACCACTTCCGGGTTATGTGAAGCTTAATACAGATGCTGCAATCAACAGGACTGTGGGGAATGCAGGAGCTGCCGTGGTGGCGAGAGATCACAATGGATCCTTTCTGGCTGGGAGATATTCACAGCATAGTGGGATTACTATGCCGTATATTGGCGAAGCACTGGCCTGTAGAGACGCAATGATTCTTGCTATGGAGAAAGGCTGGAGTATGATAGAGATTGAGACGGACTGCCAAAACTTTGTGGATGATTGGAAGGAACAGCGGGACCGATCAGAGGGGGGTCCAATTATTAGAGAGATGCTCTCTTATCTCTCCCATTTTCAGGAGGTTGAATTGAAGTTCAGAGGAAGAGCTGGAAACGAAGTGGCCCATGAATTAGCTAGACATGCTATGTTTACCAGCATGCAAAATGTAACCTTTAATTCAATTCCTGTGTTCTTGAGTGACATTTGACAATGTACGATGAATGAATGAATAAAATTTGCCCGGAGGGCCGTACTCAAAAAGAAAATACTAGTGGTGTCTTGACCAGTTTAAAAAAATGTAGTGTCTTGAACCCAGGCACATCCCTGGTGGCCCAGTCCGCCACCAGCCGCCGGTTTTCTTGGACGACAAAAGTGCGAGGGCCAGTCTGCCCGCCGGCGCCGTGCTCCCCTGGACTTGCCGCCCAATCCGCATCCGAGCTGGATGTTGGAGTATAATGTCGTCCGGCCCTCTTCCTTAGATCGGTCTTTTGGTTGCATTGGCTAGAGCATGCACTTCTACATGGTATCATAGCCAAGAGGTCTTGAGTTCAAGACCCGGCTGGCGCAATTAAAATTGCAGCCCACTTTCGGTCCACGTTTAGGCCTGAGGGAGCCACACGTGAGGGGGAGTGTTGACGTATAATGTGCTGCCTGGCCTCTACCACCAGATCGGTCTGATGGATGAACTGGTTAGGTGCATAAACTTACAACCAAGAGGTTCAGGGTTCAAAACCCAGTAATCGCAATTAATAATTGCGGCCTGCCCCCGCTTTCGCTGCCCACGTCATATAGCTTCAAAGAAGCATAGACGTGAGGGGGAGTGTTGGAGTATAATGTCGTCCGGCCCTCTCTTTTAGATCGGTCTTTTGGTTGCATTGGCTAGAGCATGCACTTCTACACTGGACACGGCAGAGCTTTGCGGGGTGCGAATTCGTATCGGATTGCCAATTCGTTTGTGCGTTTGCCAATCTCATTAGCTTCGCACCGCAGAGCAGAGCAGGAGAGACAGGAGACCGATTCCGAGAAGAATGCACTGTCAGTACTCGATTCGATTTAGCAGTCCCGTGCCTACATAAGTGCGCCCAGAGAAATCAAGGAGAGGCCATCGCAATCAGGCGAGAGCAAGATCCTCCAACGGTCACCGGGCGGACGGGAGCACGGGTCCGCTGGGCAGTCCTAGCCGAAAACATATAATAGAACACCTGCACCCAGGCCCTCCTTATCTAGTCATCCATTCTGCGCATCGCGATTCGTGCAAACACATTTTTTTTTTGTTTCTCTCACATAAAACATGTTTCGAAGTTCAAACCTTTGCAGCATGGCAAAGTTTTCTATCTAAAATCTAGGATAAATCTAAACGATTTATCCTAGATTCTAGATAGAAGGCTTTGCCATGCTGCAAAGGTTTAAAGCTCAAGACATGTTCTATGCGAGAGAAACAAAAATGAGAAAATTTCATATAAAAAATTAGTTGTGTTGCACAGATCTTAAAGCAATATTGGACACCCAAGATAGCAGGGCCTGGGTGCAGATGTTCTAAAAATCCACGTCCTGGTCCTAGCTCCTACAGTAGATCGGAAACACTTCTCACGGAAAATCCGGTCAGGCTTTTCTCGCCGATCGATTGAGATGGAAGGCGAATCATCAGTGATCTTGCCGCTGCCGGTGCTGGTGCACGACCTTGGAACCCGTGCCGAAGATTCGCTGACGCAGTACAGCATCTCAACCCGTGCATCGAGCACGGCAGCCAGCGACGTGCTGCGAGACCACCGGTGTTTTGAGACCCCGCAGGGCTGGATGCTCGCGCTGGACCCTGCCTCCTCACAGACGTTCCTGTTCCGGCCTCAGGACGGCGAGAGGATCCGGCTGCCGCCTTTGGAGGAGGCGCTCCCGCTGCGCTGCAAGTGCTTGCTCTCCGACAATCCCATTGCGAAGCCAGGCTGCGCCGTCGTGGTCTTCGATCTCGACGACAGCAAGATGTGGACGTGCAACATTGGGGCGAGCAAGTGGGAAATCCACCGCTACCAGCTCACCATGTTCCTCGACGGCGACGTACCCCGGGAGAAGAACATGGCCAAGTGCCATGGCATGGCAGCCGTCGGCGGCAAGATTTACTACGAGATAACCGCCGATGAATTAGGGTTCATCCGTTTTAACTGTGATGGTAGTCCAGAACTCGACACCATAGCTGTCGACATGGTCGATCTGCCGCTGAGCATGCCGATGGCGACAACCTACCTGGTTGAATCCTGTGGCGAGCTCTTCCTCGTCGTCATCTTCTTCGATGGCGACAATGTGCACAAGGTAGCGGAGCATGCGGTTTACAAGATGGACTTCTCGAGACCGGCGTGGTGCAAGGTGGACAGCATTGGTGATGATAGAGCGTTCCTTCTTGGTGGAGATAGGATTGGGATCTCCAATTTCGGGGCGTCGTGCTCGACTGCTCATCACGATGGTGGTGGTCTGCGAGGCAACTGCATGTATTTTCTGAATCACATGGCCATCACTGAGAACTTTCTGCATGTCATCGACGTGGGCAACGGGACTGAACAGGTGCAACGGCCTTTCAGGCACAAGGGTTATATGATGCCAGTTCGACCGCCGTTCTGGTTGGTACCTACGGAATGTACCCCAGGAAATAGACAACATATACAAAATTGAGCTTGTACTTAATGTCAAATAGGTTTTCAGATCCACATATTTTTGTGTCATCTAGTATATATGTAAGATATGTCAGGCTAGTTAATTATCGTCTTCCTCAAAATTACAGACAACTTTACCACATTTCTCTAATTTGACATTACAAACTATTGTACGTCAGAGAACTATTGTGAGTGTAATGCTCCCTTTATGTTTGACTTACAATGCTCCCTTTATGTTCGAATTACAATGCTCCCTTTATGTTTGTCTTGAAAATATCAGTCGTAAGATACACCATAGTTCTCTGGTGGCTCCCTTTATGCCTGAACATTTATCAATCTCCTATTTGTTCCTTATGTTTTCTTCTACGCGTTTTTTCTCCGTTATCTGAAACTTGCTATGTAAAGAAATATAAAAGCGCTTAGATCACTACAGGAAGTACTAGTAATTAAAGACGGCAAGGCAACTCAAAGTGTGGGTTTCAGACTACAGGGAGTACTAGTAATTAAAAACGGCAAGGCAACTCAAAGTGTGGGTTTCAGTTGATCCCTGCAAGACTCGAGGAGTTTTAAAGATGGCCGTAAATTATCCCGCTCACTCTGCAACCTCTACAATTTCTTGCTTAATAGGTCCTGTTTTTTGGGGCCTTTGCTTCTGCTTTTGCAGATTTTTTACTTTGACAAAAATTGCAGACAACTTTACCACATTTCTCTAAAATAAATTTGTAATTGACGGTGCAATTCAGCGATGTCTTGCAGCTTACAATGCTCCCTATTTGTTTGACTTGAAAATATGGGCCGTAAGATACACCATAGTTCTCTGGTGGCTTGGTAAGACTCAAACCAGAGAGATTAAGCACGAAACATTTTTTTTGAGAGAGAGAAAGCACGAAACAGTTACATCTTTGACTGCTGCGTGTATTTATTCTTCTGTGAGTTGACAGTTATATTTGGATGCACTGATTCAGTAGTGATTTAACCATGTACACTATCATAAGAAAGGCTCCATCTGCTGTGTCTTTGCTTAGTTCCCTTTGTACATGATTTATCAGTGTTGCTTATGTTTTCTTCTACGTGATTTTCCTCTGTTACTTTGTAATTAGCCCGCTCACTCTCCAACCTCCACAATTTTTTGCTTTACTTCTTTATTAATACAGCAGGTGTCAACAACGATCCATAATAGTACTAGCCATATTTAGAACAACGCTCTTTTTCGCATGTTTAAACTATTATTAATCAAACCAATCTGTCTTCTTTGCCATAAACTTTCGGAAATGTTAACGCCCACACGTATGGACGTTGACCATCTCGACCACACGCATTCATCATCGTCCAGTACTATATGCATGAATTTTGGCACAATCTGACTGATATTTTGTGTCACGTAGGACAAGGCGTGTGTGTGGTGTGTGACATAGTTCGCCCACACATCCGTTTTATCACACGAAGGGGCCGGTGTGGGCGTTCAGCAGTTCGCGCCACACGTCACTTTGCACGCACACACAAGGGCTAGTGTGTGGGCATTTGCCATCTCGCCCACACGTCTGTCTCCTCTCCCACACCCAAGCTGCTAGTTGTCATGTGTTTTCGCAGCGCACATGGCAACTGCCCCTAGTGTGCTTTATAAGCAGGTGGCAACTCTCTTTTTTTACCCAAGTTGCCATGCGTTTTTTGTAGGGTACACGGCAACTATCTAGTGTGCACGTAAGCAGATGACAACTCTCTTTTATCGAGTTGCCATGTGTTTTTGCATGGTACATGACAACTGCCCCAACGTGCACGTACATGGCAACTGCCCTAACGTGCACGTAAGCAGATGGCAACTCTTCCTTTTTACAAGGCAACTGCCCTAGCATGCTTGTGAGCACATGGCAACTCTCTCAACTGCCTAGTGTTAGTATGTGGCAACTCCTAAAGTTATGAAATCATGGCAACTACATTAGATCAGACCATACATGGCAACTGCAGTTGAGCAACCATGGCAACTGCAGTTGCCCGACATGGCAACCGTAGTTCAGCGACATGGCAACTGCAGATAAATGAACATGGACGAGGGTTTGGACCATGGCAACTACGGGCGCGCAGTGGGCGTCACGCGTCGCGTGCGGGACCAGGAGGGTAGAGGCCTGACATACGGGCGTGTGGGCGTTATCAACTTCGCCCACACGCACGCGTGTGAGAAGGTTCGGGAGGGAAAAAAAGATGTGTGTGGGCATTAATTGTTTTGCCCACACGTAGGCGTGTGGGCTGGTTGCTGTCCATGCCACACGAGGCGTGTGGCACAACTACCTGATACACCACACGTGTGGCAGTTATCGAGACCCTAAACTTTTCAAGCAAATTTAAAAAAACATGGAAATCTAGTTAAGAGATACTCCTTGCAATCAATTATGCCTTTATCATGGGATGAACATGGACATGAAAGTAGGGATATCAAGTCAAAGACATGTAAGATCATTCAAGTGAGTTCAGGATGGTTGCTTCTCGAGGCTGTTCGCTTACACTGCCGTAGATGGCATACTACACTGACATTTTATAGCCATCCTAGTGATTTGATTTTCAACCAACAAAGTAATTAAGTTTTGCAATAACACATTAGACCCGACAAAAGATAGGGAAACATCCTAGAAGTGAATTTCTAGCTCTCAAACTCCAATGATCTACTGTTTGCTATTGCACATATCACCATAGGAGGTAAAAAAGGACTCCTAGGCTGATCACTGGAGATTTCAATCAAATCTATCGCGCCCGCGACAAAAACAAAGCAAATGTGGACCGGAGTCGTATTGTTCGCTTCCGTAATGCACTCAATTCTTGTGAGCTCAAGGAGATCCACCTGCAAAATAGAAAGTTTACATGGAGCAATGAGCAGCATAATCCCACTATGTGCAAGCTGGATAGTTTTTTTGTAATGAAGATTGGGACATCCATTTTGGCTCCCACATCCTGCACGCGATGTCATCCTTGCTCTCCGACCATTGCCCCCTTCTCCTTGCTAGCGATGAGGGACCCTTGAGGCCAAAATCCTTTAGGTTCGAAAATTTCTGGACAAACATGCCAAACTTCAAGAAAGTTGTTGCTGATGCATGGAACGAGAGGGTGAGCCACCATGACCCTTGGCATATTCTTTTCCACAAGTTGAAGACAGCTAGTCAGAGATTGAGGGGCTGGAGTAGGAAGATCTTCTCTCACCATAAAGTCCGACTCCACATGGCTCTCGAGGTCATCCTGCGCTTGGACATGGCACAAGAAATTCGGGCCTTGAGCAACGACGAGCAAGATATAAGGAAACAGCTCAAGCGGAAGGTTGTCGCTCTGGCTGTCCTAGAGCGAGCTAGAAAAAAGGCAATCCTCAAGCATAACCTTGCTTAAAGAGGGGGATGCCAATACGCGTTTTTTCCATCTCCGAATCAATCGGCGGAGACGGAAAAACTTTATCCATCGTCTCCGGCACAACCAAGGATGGGTTACCAATCATGACGACAAGAAAGCCATTGTCCATGAGCACTTCTCCACGGTCATTCGTAAGGGACAGGCACGGTCAAAAGATTTCAACTAGGAGGCCATTCCAACCCAGCCATGTGACCTTGCGGATCTGGACCTACCATTCACTGAAGAGGAAACTAAAGCGGCTATTTTCTCCCTACCAAGTGACAAGGCACCGGGACCGGATGGCTTCACTGGTATTTTTTCAAGGAATGTTGGGACATCATCAAGCAGGATCTGATGGCTGTTGTCAATGACTTCTCCAACCTGTGCGCCTCCAGCTTCACCTGGCTCAACTCAGCGAACATCGCCCTTATCCCAAAAAAAAGATGGTGCCGAGGACATTTCGGATTTCAGACCAATTAGCCTCATTCATGCGGTCGCCAAAATCATCGCTAAAATGATGGCCTCTCGCTTAGCCCCTCACATGCCCAACCTAGTCTCTAATGCACAAAGTGCTTTCATCAAAAAGAGAAGCATCCACGACAACTTTATATATATCAGAAACTTGGCCAGATGCTTTCACCGCATGGAATCCCCTACCCTCCTTTTCAAGCTCGATATCAAAAAGGCCTTCGATTCAGTCAGATGGGACTATTTGATGGATTTGCTTCGATACCTGGTCACCGTGATTGGGTTTAGACGCTCCTCTCCACAGCCTCCTCCCATGTGCTACTTAACGGCATTCCCGGCGACCCGATCAAACATGGACAAGGCCTTCGGCAAGGGGACCCGCTCTCGCCGCTCCTCTTTGTCCTTGCTATTGACCCCCCCTACACCACATACTTGCCAAAGCCACGGTCCAAGGGAGCTTGCATCCGGTCAGAGGAAGACCAATCTGTGCGTCCTTGTACGCCGATGATGCTGCCATCTTTGTTGCACCCATTAAAAGTGATATTCAATTCTTGGCGTCGACATTGGCCTCTTTTGGGGAGGTCACCGGCTTGGTCACCAATTGTGCAAAGAGTCTCGTTGCGCCTATCCGTTGCGAGGGCATCGACCTTCAGGATGTTCTACATGACTTTCCAGCAGTTCGCTCCGGCTTCCCAGTGCGATATTTGGGGCTGTCCCTCTCAGTTAGAAGACTCAAAAGGATACATTTCCAATATTTAGAGGACAAGGTCGCCGGCAAGCTCCCGCCATGGGCGGCCAAGCACGTGGCCACCCCTGGCCGTATTGTCCTCGTTAAGGCGGTGCTCACGGCCATTGCAATCTATCATCTGACGCCCCTTGATTTACCGGTGGAGGTGAGGAAGAAGATGATAGTTTGAGACGCACATATCTGTGGGCAGGTTGTGACAAGGTCACGGGAGGAAAATGCAAAGTTAATTGGGAACTTGTGTGTAAGCCAAAGATTTATGGTGGACTAGGAGCGCTCAACCTCGAGAAATTTGCAACCGCCTTGCGTCTTCATTGGCTTTGGTATGGATGGGCAGATCCCCCTAAGCTTTGGCTAGGCTCTGGAACACCATGCACTGACAAGGACAGAGACATTTTTGCGGTTGCCACCATGGTTCACATCAGAGACGGTTGCAA